CCTCATAAATTTGCGCTGCTACCATAAATAGTATACATATGTAGGAGCATTTAGTAAAAAGACGCGTTCGATCGGACGCTATTTCTTTGTAGCGTTTACAATATAGGGAACGGTATGTTTTCAGATAGATTTTGGGCTCGAAACCCTTTGTTTCCTACTCTATTTGAAATTCAATTTGAATCGTTTTTCTTAACATAAGGTCCACCGATGATAAAGCTTTTATGATATTGTTTGCTTATGAAATATTGTACCATATTGTCTAGTAGGTTGCTTCTCTGTTTATGTGATTTTATATGGGCTTAAGTCTTGCCATGCCATTTTCTAAGGTTCTGTAAAACTTTGAGAAGTACGATTTTAGAAAATGATAGATCACATATATGTGTTTATCCAAATGGTTAGATTCTGGAAAAGAACACTTTCGTATATGTCCGCCTGGTTCTCCACCGTGTCAGAGTGGTAGAAAAATTGAAATCGTATTTCACGGTCAAGGAAGGCATATTTCCAGATTCTGTCACACTTGACTAAAGGTTTTCGGGGACAAGGAAACCGAATCTGAGATCCATTTGCCTCGAAATGCTACTGGTTTACCGGCAACCAATAGAAATCGAGTTTTTAGAAAAACAGCTTGTTAGAAGTAATTCGAGACGGGGAGTTCAAATCTGTTAGCTTCATATGTATAGAATGAAAGGACAAGCAGTGTCACTGATGTTACGTGACAGAACGAAGAAAAAGATGATCCTCGTGGGATTCGAACTCACACCTTCTGCTATCCAGGCAGATGTCCTAAGCCAGTTAGACTAGGAGGACCATCTTAATCTTCGTTTAGCGTCAGTGTGATCCATCACTGACACTAACAAAATATGAGGTTCATTTGCTTCGAAATACTATTGGTTGACCGGGAACCAATAGAAATCGAGTTTTCAGAAAAACTGCTCTTTAGCGGTAATTTCAAGTAATTCGAGCGCGAACAAACATGTTATTTGTGGAAAAGTCATACTTCTAAGAATATAAATAGCGTTTCAAGCTAAACAGATAATAGATTCGCGCTTTTGTTACCTAAGTATCGTCGGTGGACTTCTCTTTCAAAACTCCATTTTTATTAGTTGTCAGTCAACCAATAGCATTTCGACGAAAATGGACCTCAAGTTCGGTTTCCTTGTCCCCGAAAACCTTTTGTCAAATGTGACAAAACCTCGAAAAATCGCTTTTGTAACCGAGAAACACGATTTGCACAACTCGATATTGTGAACATTATAGCTCTGCTTTGGTTTTATTTGATCTTCTGTTGTTTTGTAGAAGATTTCTTTTGGATACATAGACTAGGCGAAAGAAAAAATCAAGAATGATTACCAAGGTTACTCTTAATATACCTACTTTAACTTTGAATTTTTTAAAGTTAAAGTGCTAAAACAGGTTACTTTAAAAGTTAAAGTAATGTTAATGTGCCATACCATGGTGTGCCTGCGAATGGATGGGAATGGGCGGAAATGGCTGCGTATAGCTCGGAATGTCCGAATGAGATTTTTTCCCCTTAATTTAATTGCTGTATGTTTGGTATATTTCATGTAGAAATTCATCTATAACTTGTAATGCATGTCGGTCCCCACATCATATTGTCGTTGGTAAAATTCTACTAATTTTTCGTTATGATTTGTTTCGAGAAATATTTCTTTTACTAATTGACAAAATACATGAACATGGAATCCAGTGTGTCTTGCTCTGTTGTTGAATGTGAGCGAAATACTAAAAAAATGTTTGTTACTTGAAAATTATTATCCATGAATTTCATATTTTTCTTGTACGTGTCACTCATTATGGATAAATCGGTGGAGATATCTTGAATTTTTCTCGTTAATGATGCATGATCTTGGTTTTTAGTTACAAGTGGAATGTAGAATCGATATATCGCGAACAAATGAAAGAACTATTTTGATCAAAGACTTTGATATATTCAATAGGATTTTTTCGAAATAGAAACATTGGTCTATATTGATAAACAATTCGATCTAGCAGTGTAGACATTGAGCTAGTTCATCGGTCAGTAAATGTTTCTTCAATTTCTCAACCAACTAAATATTAATTGAGTTAGCTACACCGCGATACCGCTGTGTTCTACTCTTTGAACAATCAGTCTCTATCTTTTCTTTCGACGTCATTCCTGCAGATACTATTGTGTCTGGTCAACAAGTTACCAATCTACAAGTGTTGGGAAAAATAACTGTGTTGATGTTTTATATCAGAGTCGGATGAGTCATCCACTCACACATATAGGCAAGATCTTCAAAGTTGTTCTCCGCTGCGTTTAGCGGACATTTTTGTTGTTGATACAAAGATTTTTTCCAACGTAAGTAATATCGTCAGTTTCTAATGCACAACCAGAAGAACTTTTGTTGATAATGATATTAAATGCTTCTGTTGAGAAAAGGTTAGCAAGAATACATGAACAAGGGCGTAACTGTGGATGCAGTGATATGAAGATGATGAAGTCGATGTGAATGTGGTTGACTGTAGACTCATTTTCACACTCACATGCACACACACACACCAAATTCACACCTACATCCTCGTCATGTCAAACACAGTTCAACGTTTTCTTCGAGATTCTATTTTCGATATATTTACTTTCGACATTTTACAGGAGAATCAAAAAGAAGACAAATAAACAAATCACTAAAAATATCTAATTTAAAATATACGCTTATGGAAGTTTTTTTTTTTATACTTTCAAACTCATCATCACCATTCGAATACTTGCTAACAGAGAAAATATGTTCGAATGATGCTGAAAAGAAAACAAAGTACAATACTGAGTCCATTTTTCCTTCATAAAGATGTATAAAGAACGAACGATAATAAAAATATGTATCTGAATGAGAGTTCAGCATAGAAAAAAAAAATTTTGTTCGTTTTAACTTAATCAACATGTTCGAAATGTAGAAATAACAGAATAAGTGTTTTATACTTTATTCATATAAAAGACAAAATAAAACGTCTTTTTCTTAATTCCAATCATCAGCAGCTGCAGCAGCCGAAGCTGAACCATCTGTAGGAACCACTTGCTTGATTTCAGTCATCAAAATTATTATATATAGAGCACATCTGAAACAAGCATAAAAACGAAATGTTTTTATAATTATAATAAAATTAACATTACATTAGCATTTCGTGAATTATGATCATCATTATAAAAGTCAACACTGTCACCAGTAGCATATTTTTTAAGAAATTCAGGTACGGTTTGGCCAGCCTAATGAAAGAAAAAAACTTAAAAATACTAATCTTGAATTTTAAAACTTACATACTTCGCTTAATTTTGATATAAGTTCAGGTGCAATTTTTCGATCAGAGTCTCGTTCTGGATCAAAAAATGATATTGATTTACCCAAATGACCAGCACGACCTATAGAAATTTTTTTTAAAATGATTTCCTTTTTTGATTTTATACTTAGTTCTACCTGTTCGACCAATACGATGAACATAAAAATCATTTGTATCCGGCAAATCATAATTAACGACATAACCAGTTAAAGGAAAATCTAAACCACGTGCAACAACTGATGTTGCAACAAGTATTGAATATTTTCCATTTGCAAATTGTTGTACAGCTTCATTTCGTTGTCTTTGTGTTCGATCACCATGGATTGTTGTACTCATAAATCGTTTTTGTGAAAGTAATGCACCTATATAATCAGCTGCTCGATTTGTTTCAACAAATATTAAACAACGTTCAGATTCTAAACGAAAATTTTTCAAAATAAATTTTTCTTTTATTTTTTTTCTTACTAAGATGTTGTTCGAACAATTGAAAGAGACGATCTTTTTTTTTTGATTGTGGTACTTCTTCAATTGTTTGTGCTATATCTTCATTAGCACCACCAGGTATACCAACAGCAAGGAAAACATAATTTTCACGTAGAAAATGTTTAGCTAATTGTTGTACTTCTTTTGGAAATGTTGCAGAAAACATTGATGTAAAACGTTCATCTTTTGGTGGTAAACCAAGATCTTCTAATTTACGTATATCAGGTTGAAAACCTGTATCTAACATTCTTTAAGAAAAAAAAACCAAGACAGATTAGATTCAATGCAATAGTTTTTGTTTTTTTACATACCGATCGGCTTCATCAAGAACGAAATATTTAACTTTTTTTAATGAGATCTTGATAGAAAAAAAAGAATTTTTTTGTTCTTGTTTTTGCATATAAAAATTAAATTAAATTTTACTCGGCCTTTTTCAACCATATCTTTGCGACGACTGGTAGTAGCTGAGAGAATATGACAACCTTCTTGGAGACGATCCGATACCGCAAACATATCATGACCACCAACAGCAGAACCATTTGATAGAAAAAAAAATTTTTTTTAATATGTTTGAGTTTTTTTTAAAACATAACATACAAGGTATTACAGCAGTTTGAAATGCAAATTTTCTAGCTTCACGTTCTGTTTGTAAAGCAAGTTCACGTGTAGGTGAAACGATAAGACAAAGTGGTGATGGTGGATGAAGTCTTTCAGATAATTCATCCGCATGATATTCAAGTAAATTTGAAATAATTGGTAAGAGAAAAGCAGCCTAAATGTATTATTTGATTAATAACTAATATTAATAAAGCAAAAAAACAACCCGAAACTTACTGTTTTACCAGATCCAGTTTGAGCACAAGCCATTATATCATCTTGTTGTCGTATACAAGGTATTGTATAACGTTGAATACCTGTTGGTTCTTCAAAATTAGCACGATGAATATTTGATAAAATTTGTGTAGCAAGATTAGCTTCTTCATATAATTCAATTGGTTTTACTTTGTCTTAAAAAAAAATTATAGCATTAAATATAAAAAACAAAGAATATTTAATTACCTGGAGGTGTACATTTAACATGTGTTTGGTGATATTTCCCAAAATTTTCAACCCTGGTAACTGCTACACCAAATATACCATCTTCAATTGTTGGTGGAGGCAGTGGAACATACTGTTCAGTTGGTTGGGCACCGGCATAAGCACCGTCTATGAAAGAAAAATTATTATAATTGTTGTACTATCGCATTGATATATACGCACGTTGATTGAAAAAGCCGTCAGAAATCTGAATGAATGATTGGATTCTTTTGTTTTTCTTTTTGAAATAATTATTCACTTACTCGATTATTATTTCTTCGACTACCAGAACTATGGAAACTATTACCACCGCCATCTAAAGGATATTACAAACGAATATAAGCTTAAAGAATATTGAAAATAAGTTATACCACGAGGTCTTCTTTCTTCAGGACAATCACGAGATTGATGATCAGGTTTATGACTATAACAAACAATAAGTTAACAAACATGAATATACAACTCACAAATAAAACATACCAATTGTAACAATCTAAAAAAAACATCAGATAAAAAATACACATATTATTCAAATATAATCAATACTTACTGCTGCCACTACCGCCTCGATTATCTATCAGACTAAAATAATTAAATTTTTCATATTTATTTGAATTTATCTTACCACGATCGCTTGATGTGAATCCCCCTCGACCACCTTTATTAAATCGTATTTCTATGTTAAGTGAAGAATTTTTCCTTACCTCGAAATCTACTACCACCATTATTAAAGCCACCACGCATGGTTGACTTAACAAATGTTGTATTTCTACTGAACTCTTTGCCATCATTAGCAGTGGTTGTTTTACCTCCTGAACCACCTCGCCAACCACTAAAACTTGCTTTTGTATGATTATTATTATCTTCATTTGGATTTCTTGAATTACGAACTATGGTACACATTGCTGAGGTTCCATCATTTACCGACGGCACGGAATTCACGTTACAATCATCACCGCTTGAGTTAAATCCGCCACGACTTCCACCGTTACCTGAATTAAACCCACCACGACTGCCGCTACAACTGAAACCACCACGATTTTCTTTTCGTAGCTCAGGACATTCTCGACTCATGTGACCAATCTTATTACAATTGTAGCATGCTTTAAAAGAAAAAAAATGTTTTCAATTAAGACATCATAATTCTTTATGTTGATAAGACTTAAATTATTTAAATATTTAAACTTTACGCTTACCACGAGAATAGTCATCATGACCCGATCCAAATGCTTCATTAGAACGGAATCCGCCTCGATTTCAGAATAAAAAAAAGATTTAAGAAATATAAAAATCAGATCGAGAGTAATTATCACTAAAACCGTCGCTGCTTCGGAAAACAAAACACCCACTACTATTCGGATTACTGTATCCATCGAATTTATTATTACAGCAGCTACTTGAGCTTTTGGTTGTACCACTACCACCTGCATGGTTGTGTGTGTGTGTGTGTGAGCCTATGTCTGTGCGTAGAACTGGATGGAATTTTTTACTCTTTTTCAAACATATACCGCATCCGCCCATAATTTAGACTCTCTGTAAATAGGATAGGTAATGATATGAGAAAACAAAATTTATCATTTGGTGCCTATACTTTATTCACTGCTTTATCCTTAAAAGCTTAACTATTAAGTTATCTACAGAATGCAATAAGCGATACTATGAACTATGGCCATCGTGAAATCGTCAATTTAACAGAGGAATTTCTGTAAATTTTAAACAAATTTGCTTTCATCTAGTCGGCAATGTCTTGGGTTAGGTTATTAAAATCCCCAGTATAGAGTAAAAGTACGTTGATTGGATAAAATATGTGCCCACAGAAAATTCGTGTTTAGTTAATTGAGAATGTTTAATTTAAAACAGAAAGACATGAGTAATTCGCCGATGCACAGTAGCTTGAAATGTTCTGGATGATAACTATAGAGTATACATCTGATTTGTAACGATAATGTTCTGTCCTGCTATCAGCTGTCTATATCTCACTTTTCTTGAGCCTTTGCATAGTTTTGCTCTTTCTTACGGGCGCGAGTCAATCAACCAAAGAGAAGGAGAGAGAAGACAAAAAATACACATGTCAAAGAAGATAGATGAATATGAACGCATAACAGATGATCATCTATATTATATACAAGGTGATAACATAAGATTGGTGTGCGTTGTAGAGAGATTATCGTACATGTATATATATATTAATTACTCACCAACGAGTGTTGATATCGATACATTATTGTTTTTCTTTGCTCAGATCGTACATGGAGAAAAAACATATGCAGTATTTCCAATACTATTTGTTAAAGTTTGGTACTTGAAGTATTTTAGTTTCGGTTGTTATCATTCGAGATTTCATTTCAATCGTTACTATTAAGATTAGAAGTTCCAGTATTTTGTCAAGCTAGCAACAAAGTCACTCAATGTTTGACGAATCTATTTCGAAAGTGTCTTGACATTCGTTTTATAGTATGTAACTCATTTTTCACATTGTTTCATTATTTTCCAAACAAAATGAATTCCAAATATTTTCTCAAATGAAATGATATCTTTTATGTATAACAATAATTCATATTTCCAGTATATTTCATACATCTATATGACGCAACTTGAGGAATTCCCACTATACTTCTGAAATTCTCAGTATGTTCCCAAGAATTCAAAAATCTACTGGCTTTGACAGGGTAAAAATGCTTGAGAATAATGAATTTATGATTAGAAGTAGCCAAAGAAGGATGTGGGCCTTCTTATGCTACAACCCATAACATACACATCCATCCTACGGTAACTACTTGGTCAAAACTGTGTCATAAATACTGCATGATCGTTTTCTCTTTAGTCACCAAGTCTGAAAACAGGTCATCCGAACCATAGAGATTTTTCTCATCGGACAAGGAACTGAAATTTCTGCCGAACCATCTGTCCGAACTTTACCTTTTTTTTCTACGAAGGTTTATGTATCTTGCAAATGATAACTAACAGTAAGCTGTACTGTATAGATGTTTTGTAAGTTTCATTTAAGCAATAATTCAGAAAAAGCATTTCTCCAGTTTAATTATGTTCATCCTCCATGCATGAGGGAAGTGTAGTGTCGATTGTATTGGACGGTATGACTATTCTCGAAGTATAGTATTGTCGACAATAGACTAAACTGGCAACATATTAATGCTTATCTTTTATTTTCTATTATTTTCATGGAAGACAAACAGCACAAGCAGAAATGGGAAAAGACTGAATTAGAAATGGCTGCTGAACAGTACACAAGCAGTCCTATGGATATATCTAAGCAGAAGCACAACAAACCATAGAAGAAAAGAAAGAAGAGAAATAAATAGACAGAAAATGATAAACAACTGACAGATCATTATTCCTAAAAAAAAACTAACAATACAAACTGCAAATGTTAGTTTCGCTGACAGTAAGAAACTGATCATGGAATAGTTTACTTCTGAAGGACACTTGTTAAAATACGATATTTTTAATCAAAGTAAGGTTTCGAAGAAGACATTTTGTTTATTCATTTCAACAAAAAAAATGTCTGATCTGTTATGCTATTTTGTTGAAGCGTCAGAACTAACCAAGCTTGATAAACCTGACACCATCATGAAAATTAGCTCAGTACGATCATTTTTTGTAAAATAAAAATACTTGCAATCAACTTCATTTCTAATCATTCGAGCTATGAACGGCTAGCTGAATCAGAGGTTTGATAGTGAATCTATAAACATTAATGCCATGTTAGAAACTGAGGGACAATTAGAGGTTAAATATTCGTTACTAAACTGTATTTTTCTGAAACACGATCTGAAAGGAGTGTTGAAGTATATAGGACAGAAATTTGCACCCTCCCTCTCCCCCCCCCCCCCCTTCCCCCTCAGATCATGACAGACGGGCTCTAAAGATCATCACAGACCGTGACAGACACTCTAGGACCTTGTTATATACTTTGGATCCTGTTGTTGAGATACTATCAAACAGTCTTTATCCACAAAGTCTTATTATAATACACGAACTACTGCCTGACTGAAGTTCTGGAGGAATAAGTAAAGTGATTGTTTACAAGTGAGTTCAAAAATAGATTGATACAGCGATCTAAGTATGAGTAGGAGACACAGCTACATCGTGTTTCACATTTTCATCCAGCAGGGATTGTGCTAACAGCTTTTTTCCTTGTACAGAATATTCAAAATTAATCAAATTCGATTATTGATATTTATATGTTTGTATAATGCTCTACGTTAGAATACATTATAGTGTTTCTACGAATTCTATTTATTTGGCTACAAAAATTACTAGCGTCTATAGTTAGTTCCTATAAGTGTTTGCGACTCATTGTATTCCAATAGTACTTTGAATAATAAGTGTGCTTTGAGTCCCTTGGATTCGTGAAGGTCTATGAATGCCTTCAATTCTCTACATTTACAGTTTATGCCTGATTATTTTTTGATAGACTTGTCGATCTTGAAATCTACAACTTTTGAGAATTGACAGAATTTAGAGACATTGCTCATCAAATAGATATTATTTCCTTTATGCTATATGTAGATTAAAATCATAGACTAAATAAAATCTATTTCTCAAAAAAAGCTCTTATAGAGAATAATTTTGATAAAACTATCACCATATTAACCCTTTGGCTACGGGAGTATTATATATGATACCTGGTTGTTAGGGGTGATATCTGTACAGATATCTAGGTAGTCGACCGTCTCTCTTGTTTTCTCTGTTGTCATTACCATCTTCTATGTGATAAGATGACAACGACAACTGAGACGATCGACTATCTAGTTAACCTGTACAGATATCATCGCTAATAACCAGATATCATATATGACACTCCCGTAGCCAAAGCATTAATGCGTTTTCTTTGTATTAGTTATACAGGGTGTCCCATAAATAATTTTACGATAAAAAATTTGAATATCTCCACCGTGTTTCTATCAAAAGGCTAATATCTTGTTCGATTATAGCGGTGAGTTCAAAGTTTTTTTTTCATAGCAACAAAGTTTACAAATACTGTTTTGAATCATCAATTTTGGCAAGAATACAAAAAATTTAACTTTTAACGAAATGGTGTGTATAGTATTCTGAAAACATTTTTCATTCGATTTTGATGTTCAATCTGACCACTCTTTAGAGAAAATTATTCTCTTTGGATCTGAGAAAGTCTGAGGTCGTTGCTTTGTTTTATTCAGGAACTATAAGCATTTTCCCGAGAACCCTCAAAATCGGCCAAATGACTTCTAACCACTCTAAAATGGGTTAAACTACGGAAAATCGACCACACTGTGTCGAGTAGTGATGTTTATTTCCAGGTTTTAAGCGACTGAAGTCAATAAATAGAGATTTTTGAAAGGGCAGCTTCATGCAGCACGGTGAAGCGATATTGGAGTGTTGTTTTATTGACTTCAATCGCTTAAGAACTGGAAATAAACATCATCACTCGACTCAATGTGGTCGATTTTCCATAGCTTCACCCATTTTAGAGTGGTTAGAAGTCATTTGGCCGATTTTGAGGACCCTCGGAAAAAACCCTTATAGCTTTTGAATAAAACAAAGCAATAGGCTCAGATTTGCTCAGATCCAAAAAAGAACAAATTTCTCTATCGAATGATCAGATTGAACATCAAAATCGAATGAAAACTTTTTTCAGAATACTGTCCATGTCGTTTCGTTAAAAGTTAAATTTTTTGTATTCTTGCCAAAATTGATGGCTCAAAACAATATTAATAAACTTTGTTCCTATGAAAAAGAAAACTTTGAACTCACCTCCATGATCAAAGAAGATATTAGCCTTTTGATAGAAACACGGTGGAGATATTCAAATTTTTTATCCTAAAGTTATGTATAGGACATACTGTATAACTTATACAATAATCTTTCAATATTGATGCATCAAAACTTAATAGTTGTCCGTACTGAGTTTTTAGTCGAATATTTTGAACAACCTCATATCCTTCTATAAATACACTCTTTCATCGATTCATATATCATCATCACACTTACCAGATGATACATTCATCGAACTCTTATTTATGAACGAAGCAGACTCATTCAGATCGGAAGTGCTTAGGAGTTGATTAAGTTCT